ATACCTAATTAGATAGACAAAGTTTTTCGATCTCTTGATTGAATATGCCTCAATTCCGAGAAGTTTTGTTAATAAAAAAGTTGTAGTTTATGATGTGATGAAGCTATTTTCGATTTTTTTGGCTGATGTTAATAATTTGATAAAATGCTGTTTGTAGCACGAATTATATGAGCGAGGTGTTAACTTCGAAAAAGTAAAAATGTTTCAGCCCAAATTTATTTCGACATCAGGAGTGGCATTACTATGATTTTCTTCTTTTAAATTGGTTTTTATTTTTACTCTACTACAAATTAGAAATAAGGCAATAATAAATGAGAGCTATTCGGCTGATTGAAGGGTCGATCAATCTACATGACTGGTTTTTATTTTTATTTTACTACAAATTAGAACTTTTGTTGGAGTACATGAACAACCTCAGTGCTCAAACCACGCCTTGAAGATGACCCACATGTTTGGGTTGAAACGTTGGAAAAAATAAAAAAAAATTTAAAAAAGACTGCGTCCTGAATATTTATCACCCATAGAAATAAAGAGAGAAACATTTTATTTTCATATAATATATAAAAGGTTGCTGCCCAATTATATTGGGTTGCTATACACACAGCATACTCGTTAATCCGTAGGACAATAAATAAACTTATATATAAATATACAGAATTGGTTAGTTTATATGAGTATAATAAATATATATATAATTTTTTTTCCTTTCATTTTTCATGCTTTTTTTTCCTTTTTTTTATCATTTAATTTCCGTTTCTCTCACTTGTCTCTCTTTATACACCTCTCCTATAAACAATATTAAGACGCTTAAAATTATAATAGAACAATAAAAAAATAAATAAAAAAAATAGTGTATACATCTAGAATTTAATAAAATTTAATATGAAACAAATATAATTGACAAAGTTTTCCGATCTCTAGATTGAATATGCCTCAATTCTGAAGATTTTTGTTAATAAAAAAGTTGTAGTTATGAAGCTATTTCTTTCTTGATGTGATAAAGCTAAAGTCTTAAATAATTTAGATATCTAGAAGAGAACAGTTACATGTATAAGTGCTATTTCTATGGTTTAGATCTCGTAAAATAAAATCATTGTCCATTGTTTTCACGATATATAAATGCTGTAAACGTTATGAGGCTTGATAGTTAGTTACACTAAAATCTAATTCTATACTTATTGTATTAAATAAAAACAAAAACATTTTTCACTTATCCTACAATTAGAAACAAATTAATTCATAAATATAATATTTTAAAGGAAGGGATGGTCCGGGGTGGCGGTCATAACTAGGATAAATAGTGGTAAAACTATTTTATAGAAGCCAACGTTTCGACCCGACTTAGCAGGTCTTCTTCAGGGAGGTGTGTTCAGCTAAGATTTTCACTAAGAACTGAAGTGAAACTCCTTCTTAGTTCTAAGTGAAACTCCTAGATGAACACACCTCCCTGAAGAAGACCTCCTAAGTCGGGTCGAAACGTTGACTATTAATAAAATAGTTTTACCACTATTTAGCTAATTTATGATTGCCACCCCGGACCATCTCTTCCTTTATAATGCAACGGTCAATTATTAAATATTCGATATATCATATTTTACTTCTGTTTTTATCCATAAATTATTACTTAAATTTAATTAGTGGTTTATGCCTACTTTTTTAGGTAATAACAAACTTATTTATGGCTCCTACACAAAGAACGCGATATGTTCCGGCGATGCTATACAATTTGTCGGTATCGCTGCGGAATTTCGCGCTCTGTGTGACTTCTATAGTGTAATAGATACGACTATATAGCCATAACGCCGCCGAGAGGAATATCCTATATAAATCTAGTAGCCTTTATTGTGTACTACTAAATAAACAATATGTATAACAAATTTTTCGGAATGTTATCTTCCTCTGTTATTGGATAGAAATGTCAAGTCACTCGTAGAATCCAGAAGTAGAAGTCACCCAACTTTTTATTGTTTTAATGATGGTTTTCAAAAAGTTATGTTTAATGTTAAAGTAAGAGAGTTTATGATAAATAAATAATGAACTAAGCTATTTCTAAACCAGGTTTATGTTAATATTCTAAATTTTTCATAATTATTGGAGGCACGCGTGCTGTGAGAACTCTTGCGTCCGTTGACCCATCGACTGTGCCCTGTTGTTGCACCCTGGCCTTATTGTTGTTCGTGACGACCTGGCATTACTGGCTTAACGATTCAGGAACTGTTCATATCTGAGCCATCGGGAGCGGTCATTTAGATTTAGTCACCAGGGCGTCCGCTTATTTGTATTGTGTGTGGATCAGGGAGTATGGACGGAGTGGCCGAGCGGGCTAACGCGTGTGCACAGAACCGCGCGTTGCTCGGCAAGCTGATAACCAAGGTTAGAAATAGAAAAATAATTACGAGTTCGAATTCCGGAGACCGATGGGACTTGTAACTCGACATAAATTCCCCGCCTTCTCTCCCGGTCCGGGAAAAAGTCTAAAAGGAAAAGAAGGAGAGGATAAAAAAAAGATGAATGTGATGAGTCGGTGTGACATAGGGGATTAAAGACCATCCATAGTCCCGGCATCGCGCGCTAACGCGTTTGCAATACTTGCGATTTGTGCTAACCTAGCCTGATTACCTAAAGATCATGAATTCGAGTCCCGAAATCGGGGGTATTTAACTCTGGCATTAATCCCCACCCCTCTCCTCTGGATCTGGAAAGAAAATCCCGTATAGTCCGAGAGGCAAACTAGGGGGATAAAAAACATGACGATGAATCTAATAAATGGTTCTTATTAGCATTCTTAAATCTCTTTATGTATAATTTACATATTATATGTTTATGTATGTATACAGGGAAGCCAGAAGAGGGTGGCATGGGGAATGTTGCGCCATTAAAATTGTTAAGAGGGGCACATTTTTGCGTGGTCATGAATTTTTCTGATGTTTCATTTTTTAAAACATTAAAGTACATCACGCCGTGTGATTGTTATCAAACCACAATTTTTATAATTCTGCTTTTACTTGAGGAGTAGAACTTAAAAAATTGCTTCTTTTAAATATAGAAGAACAATTAATTTTGATTTTCAGGGATATGAGCATCCGTGTAAAAATATATATTGTATATATCGTCCATTTTTCATGTGTTCCCAAAGGCTACAAAAGAGTGAACTTTAGGAGACAACTGCATCGTAGCCTTTCTATTAGAAAGTCTGACGAAACCAGTTCAACATAAGTGAGATTTTTTTACACAATGAGATGAAAATTCAGAAAAATAATGGCAGTTGCTTATAAATAATTTATTTATGGAACAGTTAATACGTTGATACATCACTTTTTTGAGATATTACAACTTGTCACCCATATTTTTTCTAAATGATTTCATTATGTATAAATTATCTTCTTTGCATATAAATAAAAATGGTATTAGCAGGATCAGCTAAAAAAATAAATCGAATATTAATTGCACTTAAAAATAAAGTTTTTATAAAATTTAAAAAAAAAATAGAAAGGGGCAACTTCGAAAAAGATTTTTATCTCGCCTGTCAAAGAGGATAAATACTGAATAAAAATAAATACAAATATTTGTCTAGAAGAGTGGAGTACTTTTTATGAGGTCTTGAAAAGTTAATTTCGATGCATTAATTTTAACGACTTATTCACAACTCCCCGAACAATATGTGTGAAAGACAAACATTTATATAATATATATTTTTAATTTTAATTTATTTGTGATATTTACAACTGTATTAGAATATAAATACATGAAGTAAATGTGTACACAGGAATATAATCACTCCAATAATATGTCTACATAAGGAGATAACAAGGTCATCTTCTTTTCAGACGCATCGGAGGGAAAAAGAATCGAAGAGGAAGCAAGGTTAGAAACAAGAGGATTAGGATAGTTCTGAAGTTTATAATGGAAGAATAGGTATCTGCATTGGACCAAATCGGAAACGTATGGAACGTTAAGGTCTTCATGGATTATTTTATTTATGACAAAGTATGAAGCATTGAAGATTTTGGATTGTAAGGATTGGATACGTGAGGAATTTGATGGTTTAGTGGAGAGCTCCATAGCTCAACTCCGAAAGTCTAGATATGTCTTATTATAGTCATGTATATGAATCTTTTCTAATTAGTTGAAAGCTTAGAGCGTCTTTCTAGTAAATGTTGAAGTAAGCTGAAACGTCGAGCAGTTTCTGTCTGGTATGAGAATTCCAAGTGAGACGTTTATCCTGGTGGAGTCCTAGCTATCATTTAATATGAAATTTAATTACTTACAGCATGAAGCATTATCTGTATTAGTTTTTAATAATATTACATTAGTTAATAAATCACAAATACTCAATTACGGTATTATCTGGCTGCAACCAAAACCCTAAAACAAATTTCCTTCTGGTTATAAGCATATACATGAAAACAAAATGTAATTGTTAATTAATTTATATTATATCCAAATTTGAAAAGTATACGATCAAACAAATCTTATTCAAAAGCAAATAATTATAATAATAATAATTTGGTATGCTGCTTCATTTCATTACTCGTTAGTTGAAATTGACCACCCTTTCATCAATTTACTGCAGCTAAAACCTGCCGATTCGACATCAACCGAAAGAAAAGTCGATAAAGATAATATATTGCGGATTACACGTCATCTGCTCATGCTCATTTGATAAAAGTATTTCACTGTAGGTGTGTCTATATATACATATATATGTGTGTGTGTGTGTGTGTGTTTATGAATTATATCCACTTATTTTTTAGACCGACTGGTTAACATAAGTGCGATACAAATCATATTTTGTTAGCACATTGTCAATTTAATTTATTTCCTCTTTGAAAATTAGGAAAGAATATTTCCAAATGTACTTTGCCTTTATTATTAGATTTTAAGCTTTATTGATGGATATAGAATCTAATAAGTTAACTGCGAGAAAATATAATTATGTGAAACTCTTTGAATCCATACCTTGTAATAACTCTCTAATTATGCATTTATATTCATCACAGGTTACAGTGAGAAATGGGGTCTTGTTTGTGTGGGGACAAAGTGGAGCCGGAGGTATGTTAACATTAAGTACTGTTAACATAATATATTTTATATTATAATTTCTTTTAGGTTTTTCCAATACCATAATATAATATTCCATTAGTTATTATGAATGAAGTGTTTGTTTTTAATCGCAATCGTATTCTTTTCTAAAATATTCTAGGAGAAAGATGACTTTGACGGGCCAGTCTCTAAGAGGTCTTGCACAAACACAATATGGATTCTCATCTTTGCTGCTGCCTTTATATGTCTCGTAAGTGCCACTTAACTATTAAACAATTTAATAAATTACTAAAGACACTTCATTGTAATAGTAGGGTAACGGATAATTCAGCTTGAAACATGTTAGAATAGGAGTTCCGCAATACAGTATACAGGGACCTCTACTTTCCAATATTTTCACATTAGATATATCAGAGCACGACCAGGGTTCCTGACAACATTTCCTGATGACACTCAGTCCTTTCAACTTACAAAACTCCAGTAATCGCATATGTTATCATAATGGAGCATCTTAATGATATTTTTAAATGGGCTAGGGTGAACGCACCAGTTATAGACAGGGGATCCAGTGGTGGACAGGTTGGACTTTAAACGTAAATAATAAGCTTCCTTATTGATTTAAAGGTTTCAGTTTTTTTAAGATTGAAGAACAACGCTCTCTATTGTTCATACAACTGTATGAATACAGTTTCCAAAAGAAAATTTTAAAATACCTATCATTGTTGTTTCTATTGTGATATTAAGATCAGTGTGTTTCATAGCTTCCTACTGTACCTGAGTGTCCGGTTCTTTGTGGGTTCGATTCCCACCTCGGTCGATTACTTTTCATTTCTGGGCGGAATGGATCATCACATTCTCACTCTGGTAAGTACACGGCCGTGTTAGATAGCCGTCAGGGGTTGGCAAAAAAAGACCATATAAGCCCACTCACTAGCCCTAGAGCCAAGGCCCAAAAATCGACCTGATCGCAGGCGAAAGTTTGATTGTAAATTACGAAAGTACATGTTATCCTGAGTAAAAAGAATGTTGTCTGCCGTTCCAGAGCCGCTGCTTTCAAAAATGGCTGTTGATTTAAAGAATATTAGGCCAATAATTTGAGAATCGAAACTGTGAAAAATGTGAGAAAAGTTTTTATTTTTTTAACTTGTATATATGAGTTTCTACATGTAATAAATAAAATCGCCAACTCGGGCCACCAAGGAAAAACTTTTTACAGCCAAAAAAGTCAATGTTTTTTCACCTATAACTCCTAAACGATCCTGACGCGAAATTTGATGCTCTACAACTTTGATTCTATGGGTTTTTCCGCTTAGGGAACTCATTTCCAACTCACAATACCATTTATAGTAATTTATCTCAGTTTTGACAAATTTGCTAAAAATCAGCGTTGGTTGACCGCTTTCCGCTTAACCAAATTATAAAGTTTATGTACTCGTTTGACGCAAAATTTAACGTTCTTTAATTTATTAAAGAAAATATTTTTCGCTTTGATGGAGTTCTAGGTGAAAAAACAAAAATTATTGAAAAAATCTATCTTTTTTTGCAGTAAAAAGTTTTCCCTGGTGGTCCGCGTTAGCAATTTTGTTTTTTTACATGGTTAAATTGCTAACCTATCTAGTAATAAGGCCAAAGGCTTAGTATAAGAAAAGTGTTACGCACCCAACGATATCAGGCTACGCACTTCTCACTATGAGGAGTCAACAATTCTTGGTTTCACTCTACGAATACTTTTTTTTTTCTTTCATAAATACAAAATAAATCTTTTTATTAATAATATTGTTTATTATATTTTCATAAAGTAATCTATTTCTAGTAGGATATTAATATTGCCTCATTCAGACTTAAGCCAACAGATTAACAAAATTACTAGTGCAGTAATTGATTAGCACAACAGCACTAATAAAAAAAAAAGAACATCAAGTTTAAATGAGAGCATCGATATTAATTCGGTTGATTGTTTAATCTCTATAATCATTATTAATAATTATCATGTCAATTGATTATTATCCCTAGAATACCAGTTGAAATTAGTTTGTTAATCACCAAGGAGACAAATATAAGAATTAAAAAAAATACTGATAAGCTATAATATTTGTATATATTACTTGTTCTTATTCGAAAGTGATGAATTGTATAACCATTAATATTTTGTTCAGTTGTTATGTATTTCATAATTAAGTGTTTTTCTATTTTATGATTCTCTTCGCCTGTTATTTTAATTGTATGTTAAATAAAGTCTTATGCTGTGTTGAAGTCTATTAGTGTTAAATAATATACCACAAGGTATTTAACATACAAAGAATAAATATTTCAAACTGAAAAAAATTGGAGCAGATATTCTTCAGGAACATATACACCCAGTGGAACTATAGAAAGAAAACGTTTTAAAAATATTCATAGCAATCAATTTAAGCAAAGGATGCAGATAAGTTACTATTACTCAATAACCATATTAGTCATAGTATACATGAGCTTATTAGTGATTGTATTTCCAATTATGCAGCTATTTCTAGGTTAGAGGTCCTTCACCATAATACCGAAAAAGAAATGTATGCCGTCGACATCAAGGAGGCAAGAGACAAAGAGGTGGCCACTTACATACGATTTTGATATCTGCCAATATTCTTCTTAATCAATATCAATTTGATTGGCCAACATATCCATACACATATCAACCTGGTTGCCTACATGGATTTGGTTGACCAACATGCACACACACACGAACCAACTTCGAAACCAACACAACCATGTTGGTCCGCGTAATGTGCATCTTAAGAGCTTGCTTACTCTACTATTCCGCAGTCGAGAAAGATGCGTTCATTATGATTGAGATCGGATATGGCAATTTTATTTAATTGTTCAAAGTTTCCACTTATTACTGGCCGAAAAGCCATTTCCTATGTGTTCAACTTCAACCACTAAGGAAAGATTAAAAAATTTACCTGGCTTCGTATAATCTCCCTGGTAAAGACAATGTAGCAGCTTACACTTTGTGTATGTTTTGCAGTAGAGTAACTAAGGGTAACTAGGAATGCTCATTGCTTAAAAGTTAGAAGTTTCAGTAATCATTTGATGTGATAAGAAAAGGTACTTCTTGCAAAATCTAGCAGAAATAACGCCACAAAATACATTCTAATCGTCATTGATGATTGTTCAAGGTACCTTTTTGCTATGTCTTGCATTGACTCATCATTAAAAAATGTCATTAATGCTTCAAGTTAGATTTGTACTTGCTTTCGTTATCCAACTTATATTCATTGTGATAGAGATAGATTCTTTCATTTCAAAATAACTCCAGACTTCTTTACTTCCAAGTGATAGCGACCAATCTTATCACTCCATATAAATTATAGAGGAATCGGACAAGTCGATGATTACAATGTTTTGAAAAACCATTAGCCTAGCATTAAAGTCTAAAGGCCTCATGATATCACAATGGAGAAATGTTTTACCTGAGGCACTGTCGTTCATTGCTCTGCACCTCAGCCATTGATACTCCGCCTTAACGGTTATTCTTTGCCAACAGAAGATTTCCTTGGATACCAAAGTGATTTTTAAGAATCTAGATCTAAGAAATAAATACCTATCATAAAAGAGTTCATGTTACTTAAGGTAAACCCAGACTATGCCCTCATTAAGATCCCCGACTGCAAAGGTGTTATGGTTAAATTGAACCGATTTCTTCTGATCTGATAGAAGATATAATCGATAGTTCAGATGATGGAAACTTTCGAGAAAAATCTTTTATGCATGAGGATATCACTATCATTCTACGACAGATATCGCCAATTCTCATAAGAATATTATCGATTTTTTTTTGAAACCTACATGCACTGATAACATTTCAAAAGTTTCATTTTTAGAAGATGCTTTTTTCAAATCTCCAATCAAGAATTGAAGCCAAAACCTAATCTTCGAAGGTTATCTCGGACGTTAGACCTCAATTCTTAAGGGTTATTTATTTCCTTAAATGAAAGGAGGAGAGGGTGAATATACGTATAAGATTTTTTTATAATAAACTTTAGTAATATTTTGCTCAGTTGTTGTGTAGCTCATAATTATATATTTGTATTTTATAATTCACTTTTCGATTACTTGAATTGTACGTTAAATAAAGTCTTATGTTCTGTTGAAGTTTATCCATATTAAGTAATACACCAAAGTAATTCAAAGCCTTTTTTTTTTGCACAGCCAAACTAATATAAAATTATTGCATTTCAAATTATTAATTAAATTAACTAATATGAATTTTATTATAATGAACACAATGCCGAATCCGTTGCTAAGAGGTCTTGCACTGACACAATATGGTTCATCGTAATGGCTGTTTTCGTTATATGTCTTGTAAGTGTCTCCTCATTACTAGTTTGTTTTTTTATTAATTTTTATGAATTACTTTTACTCGTGTCATAAATCACTATATCATTTCACAAATACAAGAGATAAATCTTATTAGATATTGTATATATACAACTCTCAAATCTATTTGTTCTTTTCTCTTTCTGAGTTATTTGTAGTATTCTCCAAGATTCACGAAGACATTAATAGAATCTGTGCGTAAGAAAACTTAAGCCTATTGGATTAAGATTAAATGCTGCTAAATTTTAGGCCGTTGGTAAACCTTTTTACTTTCACTTACCGAACATATGTAATATATAGTAAGGATAAGTATTGCGTTCGTGAAAATTTTTGAATCTGAGTTTTCAACGGAAATACACGTTTTGGAGTGCCATGCGACCAAGTCCCGAAAAATGGTCTGTGTGTTTGTATGTTAGCAGTCTAGCTCAAAAACGAAAAGTCGTACGAAACTGAAATTAGGTATTTTAGATAGGTATATGCCTTAGATGTGACAGCAACTTTTTCCTTAAAATTGGCTAACCGGAAGTGCCACTTTATATCAACGCTGAAACACATTTTTACAATTTTCTCAAAAACGATTCTAACGATTTTAATTAAACTGAGTGTATCATTGTATAATGAAGTGTTCTGTAATACTAATCAGGTTTTATCCCCCTTGATGTCACTGTACAGGGCTTAAATGTCCAATGTTCATATGCGTCTTCCTCTAAAGTACCTTTAATGTGGTTTATTTTAAATAATTAACTATCTCTCATTATTAAGAGCTACGAAAAAATGCTAAATATAACTTTTGAAAGAATTTGATAATTTAATAAAGGAGAAAAAATAAAAATGCTTATCCAGGTCGAAAATGAATCTGCAGAAATACTAGATTTACGTATACGTATACGTTTATACCTTTAGTATACGTATAATTTATCGTTGGAAAGCGGAGGATTTTAGAAAAAAACAATATCTAATATAGAAAGTTGTAGAAGGTAACGGAGAGTGGCAAACAAATTATAAATAATAATTTTTGAAAACTAATAATATTTAATGTAAATCGCATGTTTTCAAGGAAATTAAATGAAATTTGTGTGAAAGAAGAAGTGAAATGTACAAATATTTCATAGATACGTTTATAAACTTAAATATATTTACTGTAGTTTAATAACTCTAGATTTGATATTATATTTAAATATTTAGGTATCTATCAAGTAACCTTTTAGAAAATTAAATTAGTGAATAGTTTGATGAAATTTCCTTCTGTGATATTCCAACAGTATCTACTTAGAATTAGTGTCACAACTTTTGACTTGTCTATGATAGACAATGCAAATCTCTTAATTCCTTTTTGGAAAACTTTGCAATGGAAAATAACAGTTTAATAACTTATAGTCGTACAATCCATAATCAACGGGTCGTGCAATCCATAACAACGGATCTTACAATCCATAATCAACCGATGATATAATAAATAAAATTAAATTTATTTTAATGGTATTTATGATTTGTAAGCTGTAATTTTTTAGCTTTAGCTCAGTTGTAAATGCAATTAAAAAATTTTATAATAGCCCAACATGGCTAGAAAATAACTTCTATTCAAAGTTGAGCGGAAAGTGAAAGTTGTGTGTTGCGCGCACCAGATTTTTTCACATCCGATACTATAACTTTCTATTACTAAATGACGTTTTCATTGACTGCGTTACTTTCTTTAAAACTTGAGCATTATTAATTACCAAACTCTTGGAATCGCCATATAGCTCCATATGATTTATTTATCCCCAGAAATTATTCAATCGTTTTCGCCATCTTCTACCCGTAGAATCTTAGTATCCTCCCTGATCTTCTGGTGTTCTGATGAATGGTAGTGGATCTCAGAAACAGGCTGAGATGTATTATGAATAATTTTGTAAGATTTTTCAATGGGATCCCGATACGTTCCCGTGTTATTAAGCTGAGTTAGGGTGACTCTTCATTTGCTTAGAAAATATTTCCAAGGCACAATCTCTTAGCAAATAATCAACTTTAATCCTTGCTCTGTCTACAATTTTCTGCAAGCCTTCTATCCACCCCCTTACCGCAGAATCTTGAACTTCTGTCCTTATTTATAGTTCTTTCCACATATCTGGCTTATTTCAACACTCCGTCATAATCGGCTACATTCTGGAATTCCCTCCCTCTTAAAATCCGACATGCACCATCCGTATCCACATTTAAAAACCTCCTATTCCAATCCCTCTTCAAAAACAATATGACGCTGGCTAATTATGTAAGACAAGACGTTATTTTTATTATTCATATAATATAGATCGATAATAAGAAGAGTTTTGTCCTCCGGCCTACGTATTTGGTAGTATTGAACTGTAGTGGTTACACTTATGTTAGCAGGAAGTAGCTGTCAAACCTACCTATTCTTTCATGATAAATTATATCCCCCCTCAATAATCGATGTTTATTTTCATCCCTATGAATTAAGTTCTTCGAAATATTTGTTATCAGAGGGCGCCATTGTATTCTTACTCTTTTTCTTCCTAGAAAGATACTCCTTTATAACATTTCTCTCTTCTTAAGTATCAATTTATTTTTTTTTACTTATTTATTTATTACTTTTTATTTTCATTACATTAATATTGAACACTTTTACTTTTTGAAATAGATATAATGGATTACTCATTTTTGAAGACTTGTTTCTATGCAGAGAAGTAAAAAAAGAGAATCAGTACAAAAAATAACTTCTACTGAACATTTAAGTCTCATTATGCTTATCCATAAGTCATAACTTTTTGATAAATGATACTTAACTATCAAGAAATTTTTTATAATCATTAGGAGTTGGGGGTGCCCATCCCTTCCAAGGTGGATGGCGCATGAACTCCACCTCTCCCCCTTCTCTCAAAGTATTTTATTGCTCTCCTCTTTTTAATAGCAGTACAAGCTAAAGTATAATTTTAGAAATCATAGGTCATATACAAATAAACTTTCAGTGGTATGTTCTATACTTTCCTACTGTCCCCTAGTTTGAAACTTTTCATTTCGAAAATATATGTGCCCCACCTCAAAAATTCAAAATCTCGTCAAAATGTGCTCCCCTCAAAAATTTATATGACGCAACTTGCGCTGTGAAACCCCCTTCTGGACACCCCTGTTATGAGGAGTCAGGAGGGGGTTTTATCACCAAAATTCAAAATGGAGTTACAAAATTCTTCCGTTCAAAACTGAAAGTGCGCTATTGTGATGAAATCGAAATGTGTAAATTTTGAAAACTCGATAGTTCGCTTCCTATTGGGCTTAGAGAAAAATGTTCAATAATTTTAAGATGTTTAAAATTGAATATAGCCATTTTTTATCTATGCCGCTCTAAACCAAAAAAGTTCAAAATGTCAATGGTTTTTCGACCATTGCAGCTAACACACAAGGCTTTGAAAGGCCAAAACGTGGATTTTTTATATTCACTAGAAGAAATTTGAATTACCCGATCTCGAATGACCGAAAACATCAAAAACAAGAAACAAAATCACTATCATAGGGAATCAACCATTTGGGTATTTCTTTTTCCCATAATTGTGAAATGTCTAAAGGCCCTTAAAATATACCTATTTATTTTTTCTCAATATTTTTGGTGATTTCTCCTTTTCTCCACCTGTGGATTCGCCACTGACGTAGTTAGTATGACCTAAGGAAGTTCCAGGAAATTAAGACTAATCCTTGAGCGTTTTTGGATGGAAATGTGCTTCTGCTCTTTTGCGGCTCCATCCATCTTTTTTTTTTTTAAATTAATTATTTCTCAAAATATTTTTTTTTACTTGTTCGTTTTATCCGAGTGTTTGGGCGACCTAAATTCCGATTCTGATGTTTTTATGTATTTGAGTATTTTTTTTTTTTCATTTACCTGTAATGGAAATATATAGTAAGGGAAAGTATTTTTATTGATTCTTTCATTACATTTATTATTGATATATAATATAAACTGCCACTAACAGCTCAGGATTTAGTTTTGGGGAGGAGGGCTTCTGCCAGAAAGATTTTTAAAAAATATATATAACGATAATCACTAGCAGATCCAGGATTTAATTTTGGGGGAGCGGGGCTTCAGCCCGAGAGCTTTTTTTCATAAAAATAACGATAATTACTTTAGAAAAACAGAAAGAAACTAACTACCTATATGAAATGATGTTTAAGTGATTCCTAAAGTCCTTTTAAATGTACTTACATGAACAATAATACTTTAGGAGGTATTTTTTCCCCCATAAAACATGGTTATACTTTATCATTTTGGGGGGGGGGCTTCAGCCCGAAAGCCCCCCCCCCTCCTTCCCCATAGATCCGCCCGTGACGATAATTACTTCAGAAGAAAAAGAAAAGTACTAACTACCTATATGAAATAGAGTTTAAGTGATTCTTTAAGTAGTATTAAATGTAATTACATGAACAATAATACTCTTAGAGGTAATTATTAAGTATTTTTTTCATAAGACATGGTTATATTTTACCATTTTTTTGGAGTGGGAGCTTCAGCTGGAAATTCCCTCCCCCATAGATCCTCCTGTGTAAACTGCTGGAGCATATGAAACATTTGTAATCCAACAAGACCATTTAATAAAACAAAATAAATAAATAATACGACCTTGAGACATACTATATTCTACATCTTTAAAGTTTATTAATAAAATTAATATCAATATTTATTTCTAATATATATATTTTATATTTTAATTAAATTATATGTCTGAAGAGCTGGTTGGAGGCTGAAGTCATGGAAAAATAATAAATTTGTATTTTCAGGAAGATAGTCCAATTAAATAAAAACATAAAGATTTTATTTTTATTTTTCCTGTGACAGCAACCTCCAACCAACTTCCCAATCATATTGCTTACAGTAAACTATTTCTACACCATTAATTAAATTTTTCCTTAAAACACACTAAACAGTTTATTTTGGTTATTATTCTTACAGTTTGGACTTGTTGGTCATTGTATTGCCAATGGAAATATCTTCAGGATCATTTATGGTTATGATAACTGCGGAAACATCTGTGGAATGAAGAATGAACCAGAAAATGATCCCAAGTTCAGCTGTAAAGGAGTGGATATGACAGAAAAAAAGTAATTCTATATATTTCTCAGGATTTTAAGTTTCGTGTATGTTTAATGAAATCATTTATATCTCAAATAGTTTTGTCTTTATTTTATGGTTCCTTTAGGGAGCGGGGCTGCTCAGTGGTAGGGCACTAAGCTTCCAATGCTCGAATCCCGACTCATGGCAGGAAAATTATTTATTCTGTTTCATTGGCCATGGGGTGACCCTGGGGCAGGGAGACCCTCCTGGGGTACACCCAGCCTCAATAAAGTGGGTACTCTTAATTAAATAATTGCTTAAGGGAAAAACCTGGCGGTTTAGCGTGAATCTGGCCCGTTCCTCTCCCTACAAATTGACCTGTAAACAGTATTTTCCCTACATAGTACTGAACCCAAGACCCTTCATGGGTTTCAGTATTCTTTTTTTTTTTTTTTTTTTTTTTATGTTTCCTTTATTAAAATCTAGAGCAGTGCCTTTGTCAAACGTTTTTCTGAAATTAACATATCTAATTTTACTATTAAAATGAAAATTTCTTCATCACTTTAACATTTCTTGGAACTTCTTTAATTTGGAATATACTGTTATTTTTTTTTTTTTAATAATTATTTATTTATCCATTAAATTTTCTGCAATTTCCACATTTGTGGGATATCATTCTAAATTTTCCTCAGCAAACATGCTTCCATTTCCATTTTTACTATTTTTGATCTTTCTGTTTCTATCTTCCTAGCCTCCAAAATTTCTCTTGATTCTATCTGTTCTTGGTCTTCTGGTTCAATAAGTGGTTCTTAACCATTTTTGGGGTTCAGTTCTATCGTTCTTGGTAATTGATTCACTTTTTGAGGCCCACAAGTAGAAATATGTTATTCTAAGAGGAAAAAAGCTTACCATCCATGATGATGGATATGGTACTTGATATATACTTCATCATTAGTGGTTCGTCTGAGAGGCAATGTGATCAACAATTATGATTAACCACCATGATTTCCTTCATGAAGGTAGGAATGAAGTCAACTTACAGCTAACATAAAAGAAAACAATTTATGTACCACAGTCAGAACTCGATTAATTAAGCCTGGTGCTTGGGGTTATTAATAGAGTGTATTTTTCCACTGTGCTGTTCCACTTCCTAGTCTATAATATACTCTACTATATAGAGTCTAGAAGTTAAAAAATATTATCAATTATCATATTGTATCTAAATCTTAATAATAAGGTTTGCTAATCAAATTTTGTTTTCTATTTGAACCCTTTATTCTTATTTTTTCTTGAACTTCATCAATTATTTGAATTATTTTTGTAAGAAAAGTCATGTCTGTATATCTTCATGCTTAGTATTTATAAATAATAATTAATTAAAAAACAAATAGAACCAAGATCTTTTTTATTAGAACCAAGAAATATATATTAAGTATTTTTGTTGTCAAAAATGTTTTTGAAATTTATCAATGAATGTTTAACACACCACAGGTATCTGCTGGTAAAAGGTGCGAAGTATATTATCAATCCAAAGAATGTGTACAAAGAGTGTGTCGCAGATTGTAGTGCGTTTCCAGAATAGTAAGTAGAATTATTAGTATTACTTTAGTTTCTTAACCAATATTCATACAGGTCTATTTTCTAGCAGAAAGTTTCTGAGAAGATGTATTCCTAAAAATACCTCTGGAATTGTGAACAGCTTTTTCTCCAAAACAGGTCTCACGGATTTTTTTCTTGTAAGTCATTTTGCCAGTAATAGTAGATAGTATTAATGTTATATAAATATCCTTATTAGTACAATAAAATTAGGGAATAACCCAATGATGCAAAGAAAAATAAACTGAAACTTGTCATAATTCTATAGAGGGTGGATATGCCCCAATCAGGAGTATCTCCTGATTCCAGAGTCGATCCACAGTTGAAACAGAGTAAATCATTTCTCTGCAATCAACCGGACTCGAACCTGGGTACTTGAGCATTGGAAGTCAGTACCCTATCACTGACGTACCCCAATCCCTATTATTTATAGAGAGAAGAGTAGCTTAGTGGGTTGGGCACTAACTTCAAAGCTCCAAATCCTGGGTTCGAACTCTACTGATGGCAGGTAATTATTTAAGGCCTCCTGGGTTGGATGGGGCACATCCACCCTCTATATAGTGGGTTCTCTTAATTCATTATTTAATCGGATAAAATTTATACAATTAACACTTTAAGGGGAAAAAAAGCTTCAAAACACCATAAAGTTCCTATTGTTAAAGGGAAGCAATACTGTTTCAATTTTGAACATTATTAAAAAAAATTTGTTTGTTAAATAAACAAATTATGATTCAAAGTTTCTTTATTTAATGGTTTTAAAATTCAATAATAAATTGTTGAAACTGACAAATCAATAATAACATTAACAATCTATATCAATCATTTAGGAATTTTTGTGATATTGATGTAAAGCATAAAGTATCAACAATTATTTATTAATATCCCAAACTCTTAACAGGAAATATGGAAAAAAGAAAAAAATATCAAATGTGTATGTTTGGTCATTGGTGCTAATCAATCAATGAAAGTAAACAGCTTTTACTTATTAAATATAAAATTAATTGAAATTTTGTTTTATATTTTTGAAATATAATAAAATATTTTAGTGGATATTTTATGTATATATGAATATGTTATGTAAAATCTAAGGTATTAGATCAGTATCCTTATACTCTTCTTCCTCATGGAAGAAAACATCTTCAATTGTAAGATGATCTGATACCAGTTTTAAAACTGTTTTATGGTTTTAAACCACTATAAGCCACTTCATAGTCACTCAAAACTTATTATTTTAAAATTTTCATAAATTTCTCAGTGCAAGTACATGTAATGTGACAGTGTTCTTGGTTGTCATTTGTGATGGAGAGTTAATCTTTTTCAACCTTAATAAACTCTAAAAGAATTTGTGCTGTTGCTGTTGTGGGAGATAGTTTTTGAAAATTTATCTATTCAGATCATTCCTATATAAGTTTTTCTAGCCTTATACAAATGATTCACACAAGAAATTATAAATTGAAATTCAACTGGAAATAGTCATTTTAGAATATGTCCTGACGATTCTTTAACCACTTTTATGAGTTTCTTAACAATGTATTTCTATACTTATTTACTCATTGATCTATCACTCATGCTTATGATTACATATATTATTCTTGGTTTTAGGAGGTTTCGGAGGATTTGCATTTGACTGCAGTGTATTTGTTGCTTTTGTCACTTTTTGCTCTAGGTGAATGTGCTTATTTTTAAATTATTAAATTATTTTTAATTTTGTTACCATAATTATTTCCAATCAATTCAACCTCACACACTTTTCTTCTTATGTATCATTAAAAAAATCTCTTTATTTCAAAATTATTATATCAGACAAATTATTAACATTTATGCATGTTATTAAAGATTTTATTTTTATTCAACAGGATTATCCTTCTTGGTTCTGTTTCTTCTACAATATGTTGCTGGAATTGTTGTATGGTTTGTTCTTATAAGCACAGTAGTAGTGAGTATTGCTACTGTCTTTTATTTATGGTAATTTTCTTATTAATATTGTTTTTTAAAGATCTTGTAGTCATTTCTAATAAAATAAAATAAATTAACTATCAGAATGAATGAATATTTTCATTTTTAGGACTGTTTATGCACAAAAAAGAGCAGTAGAAGAATCTCAGAGTAATATTATTTTTAAACGAATATCAAATACAAATCTAGTTTATGCCATTATTGCAACTATTGTAATGGTAATTATATTTTTGTTCAAGAAAACTAATGTTTTATGTGATAATTGTACTAAATTAATTATTAATATATGTGTGTGTTAAAAACAATTAAAGTTTTTTCATTGCCATTAGTTATTCCTAAGGGAAAAATATGGATTATGAGGGAACTTAATAGTTAACTAAAGGAGAAATGAAACAAATATTTTTGCAGGTTGAAAACAAATTTCTAAAAATAAGAATAGTAATATAGATGTGTAATATAATATATCATATGCATAATATTGGAAAACTGAACATTTTAGAAAAATTAATATCTAACATAAAAAAATATTAGTGATGAAAAACTAATTACTTTTTATCAATTTATTAAATAATAATTTTATTATTATTGAGTGGAAAATACATGTTTTCACGGAAAATAAATGGATTTCCTATAGGAAATTTATTTTTAGCTTGACAAACCAAAAATGTATAGTGCATAGAATTGTCATACTTTATAATAATTATCCTGAGTTTATAATTAATATATCATAATTTATAATTATAGTTTTATAATTAAAGTAGCATTCTTAAGGTTTATTAACTTTAAAAAAAATTCTACTGAACGTATGGTGGTACGTGAAAGTTGTGAAACACTAGGTCAAATTTATTTATTTTATTATGAAATTTTAATTTATGTAATTGTCCATTTCTCTTCCTCCGTATATTGCTATATAAAACAAATGAATTACATATTTGGGAGTTCTGTCACATCATCAGGATATAACTAAAATGTAACTATTATTATTAAAATTATAATTATATTGACTAGAGTATGTAGGAAGAGGAATAATAATAATATTCACATCCAAAAATTTTTTTTTGTTAGTATTACTGACTTGTGGATCTTTTGATGCTTTAAAAAGCCTTCTCCATCTGTGCATATCTTGGGCTATTTTTCTCCAATTATCTGCATGCAGCTATGTTGCATTTTTCTTGATTCTATCCCTTCATATGGTCTTTTGCCTTCTATTGAGTCATTAATTGTTGTGTAGAGGCTTTCAGATGGATTGTTCTGAGCTACATGCTCCACCCATCTTAACGTACTTGCCTTCATATATGATATTGATTGACCAGTTTCTACAAGCACCTCTTTATTACTCTTTTTCCTCCATGTGTTAGTACTCTGATCCCAGATGGCAGAGTTATTGTGCAGAGGATTTTTCTCTCAAATATTTCAATACTTCTATCTACGGTACTGGTTAGTTCAGATCTCGCAGCAATATTTGAGAATTGGCTTTATCATACCATTAATTTGAGATACCTTAGGATTTTTCGGAATTTCAATACTTTTGAAAGAGAGAAAAAAGCTCTATCCTTGTTATACGCTGGTCTATTTCCGACCATTTTTCATTTATTGAGTGTTTTGTGGAGGCTAGTTGTTTGAATTTGTCAACTCGCAGGATTTCTCTTCAACGTAGATCTGGATTTTGGCTTATTATCGAATTTTGTTTTATCTTAATTTATTTATTAACTCTGTTTTTTTTTATCAATATTAGCAAGTTTCTCAATGTCCTCTTGATAGGTTCCAAGCATTGCTATATCATCTCCATATCCAAGGATTTTATGATTCATTCTGACATGCACCTTCATGTGATCACATCCTAATGCTATCAATAACGATTTTTTCTTATTTTTAATATTTTATATTTACATTTTAGGAACAGAAAAATATTTTTAAAAAGTCTCCTGAGTTTTACATTTTCATTTTAAAATATGGAATACATTAAGACAGTTAATAATATTATTTGAAATATAATTTTTTATTTATAATTTCACAAAATTCTTTAAGACTTAGCAGCCTGAATATACCAGTCTATGGAAATTATACTAGAGTTTCAGTAATAATTAGAATGTTTAAAAGTTTAACATTAGTTTGGTTATTGGATTTGTAATCAGGGCTGACAATTTAACCATTAAATAAAAGAAAGAAAAAAAAGGTTTCAAACCAAAAATCTTTTTTTCTGTCACAGGAAAATTACTAAAAGATTTAGATAATATCTTTAGATAATATCTGAATCTTTTCAACGCCAGAAATAAAATATTCATATATTATATTGATGTTGGATTTTTTGGCTGTTAATCAACTGTTAATCATTATTTTTCAGTTCATTATCATTTTAATTATACTTGTTATGAGGAAGAGAATAAAATTGGTTGTCCAACTTTTTAAGGAAGCAGGAAAGGCTATTTCATCAATGCCACTACTAATACTTCAACCAATTGCTGTAAGTTTTTATCAATTGCATGTTTATTAAAGCTTGTTTTTATTTCCATAAAAATTAAAATATTAACAAATTTTGTGGACTTATTACCTTCCACTTATGCATCACACTTTGTTGACTAAATATTGGAAGAATAGTGAGATGGAATTTTTATGGAACCATTGACTTTAGGAAACTTATGCACGGGTTCCTGTAGATGATGAAATCAAACATAATTTATTGCACTTCTGCACTGCTCCATCAGTCTTTCAACCGAGCATTGGTGAATTGCTAGAAAAAATGACAGATGTTATAGAATACTGTATCGAGGATGGCTGGTGTAGGAATTAAAATACATTTAATATAAATAAATAGATTTGTTCTGTTAAAGAAAGCGTCCAATCAGAAATTTTTTTAAAAGAAGGGGGAAAAAAATAAGAGGATCTATAGGTACAGAGTCCGAGTGGGTTAAGGAAGGGGGTTCTTGACGAGAGAAAATGTGTTTTTTAAACTTAACACTCATGTCAACCTAATAAATCGTAAATTACGAGTTCAAATCCTGTTGCCGGGGATGGAGGAGGGACTTTTAACTCTGGCATGGGAAAAATCCAATGAAAAAAAAGATAGCAACATTGCTTTGAATTTTGATTTGCTCATTTTTGGCTCTCGAGGAAGTTGGGTTCTTCTAGTGCATGGGTTGACGTTTTGTTTGAGGACCATAAGTAAAAAACCATGATTCATCAATCTACATTAACGAAAGAAAATTGGAGTCTGTTGAAGCTGCAAAAGAGAAAGCGGCAGGCATCCTGAAGCAGCTGACAGAAGAAGACTTTCATCACTGTTTAAGATGATAGAAGATTCGCATGGAGCATTGTAGCGATAGAGGAGGGTTGTATATTGAAGGTGATAATAAATAAATATGTAGGAAATCAAAATAAAATGTTTTACAGTATATCTATATTCTACTGAATTTTTCAGATAAGGTAACATACATATGTACATACAAGTAACATACATGTTAGCTTATTTGAAAGATTCAGTAGGATCTTTCCTATGAATGACTAGATATTTGTGAGAGGAAAATATGTAAAAAAAAAAAATAAAAAGGAACGTACAATAAATTTCTATATTTAACAAAACTAAAATCAATATAAAAGTAAAAGGATGCTGGTATACATATAATGACAAATTATTTTAAGGCCAAAAAAATAAATAAGGAAATAACATAAAATTTCTTAATTAACAAATTAAAAATGATTTAAATTTATAATTTTTATAAAATATAATAGCGTTTTTGGACTGTTCAGTTAATTATAATAAAAATGTTCTTGAAATGAAAAAAAAAAAATAAAACTGCTAATGTCTACAGTGTATTATTTAATTGCTGGAATTAACTCATGATGGCTGTTGAATGGCTGCAGAAAATGATTGCTCTGAGGAATATTGTAGTTCAAATGTTAACGAAAGAGAAGAATATTGACCAGCATATGAACTGATGGGTGGTCAGCGATGAGCATTGTGCAAGATTCAAAACAGTATTTTCAGGAGAAAATGATTTCTCTGAGGAATATTGTAGTTAAAATGGAGAAGAGAAGTAGATGGATATGTATGTGTCAGTGATATGCATTGTGCAAAGATAAACTTAGTACTCACTGGTTGGGAGAGCTGGAGTAAACAATGACTTGCTTGTATATCACATAAACAATAACAAATGCGCAACTTCTTCTGCCTTTTAAATAATAATTGTGCTTATTTTAAAATAAACTTAATTTGTCAGATTTTAATTAAATTTATATAATTTAATTATAATGGTATGAAGATGGTTGACCATAATTATAATTAGAGGAGTTAGTCGGGGATGCGGTCAATATATTACACATTGTAGGTCTTCATCAGAGTTACAAAAGATACAAATGTTGCATCTGGCACTGCTGGAAGCATTTGGGAGACTTCTTTTCAATAGAAAAAAAAAACCTTTGGAAAATACCCAATACAAAAAGATTTTTCATTGTTTATTGCATTTATTTGAATTGTATTTCTGTTTATAATATTATGTTTTCATGAATGACTATTAACATAATTTTCTCTATAATTTTTCTTGTTCTTATTTCAGACATTCATAGCACTTACAATAACGGTTTGCCTGTGGTTTTACTTTTCATTGTGGATTGAAAGCTCTGGATATTTGTATGATGATGGGTCACCTTATTTTTTTTATAAAAAAGACAGCACAATGAAGGTACATAGAATATTCCAAACATTACCTATTGTTATATTTATATTAGTTGTTATATTTATATCAGTTATATTACCTGCCCCTGTTGTTATGTTATAATAGAATGGAGATATGAGACTGCAGTTATATGGTTTTATTGCCTATGTATGGATATAAGAAATAGGGTTTATGTTATTTTGATGGTATAATGGGTTTTTGTATTGATGAATATGACCAAAATTCAAAAATATATTGTTCAAGGTTTAGCTCCATTAAAAATGCGCTTCAAAAACTCAGACAAGGATTGCTTTTCGAAGTAGGGCAGTAAGTGAATGTTGTGTGTTGTTCGCACCAAATTTTTAAAACATATTTTCAGTTCAGTATTTTTTCTGATTATTTCTACATATTTGTTATTCGTAATGGACCAGTTTCCAGAATAAAAATTGTTTTTTATTATATTGTGTTCTATAGTATATGCATGAATTTTACATCTGAAATATAATAGATATTTAAGGAATATAATAAGTCATCTGAATTCATAATGGTTTAAGTAAATTTGATTTATTTTTCATTATTATTAAAGGTCACAAGATGGTATAACCTTCTTGCTATGTTCTGGATGACACAGTTTTGCATTGGTTGTCAGCATATGGTGATTGCTGGAGCAGTTGCTACCTGGTTTTTCACAAGGTTAGAAATTATTGTTTTTATTCTTGAAAATTCAATGTGATGTTTATTTACATATTTTAGGTTATTCTATTATTGGTTGATACTACTTATTAGAATTTGGAGATGTTTAGAAGTTAGTAGATAAACACTACTGTATGAAAATATATATATATATATATATATATATATATATATATATATATATATATATATAATGGAAGTTGATATTAATAAAGAATGAAATCACACACTAATTCCATAGGACCAGATCGTACCCCTGTCAAATTAATAAAATTATATCTCCCTGAAATTTTCCTAGTTCTCCTTTTCATCTACAATTTCTCTCTGCTGAATTCAGTATTTCCTACCTGTTGGAAAAAAAAGCCATTGTTCTTCCTTTAAATGAAAATTCTAAACCATTCTCTCCCTGAGATATCTGCCCAACCTCAATTCTCTCCAATTTCCTTGAAGAGTCCAACCAACTTGATCCTCTTCAATCTGGTTTCCATCCCGGCTATTCTACACAATTTGCCGTAATCAAAATTATCAGGGTTATTCAGACTACAATAGATAATAAAAAAAATTAAAAAACTGACTACAGAAATTGGGAAATTCTATCCACCCTATGAGAATAGAATTCCATATCAACTTAATCATCTTGATAGATTGATAAGGATATTGACATCTATAAATATTTAAACTTGACGTAATAGTTAGGTACCTATTACTACACTACACATTTCTGACCATTACATATCTTTTCACAGATCTGCCTCATTCCAAAGCTCTTTTGTTACCCTCTGACACTTTCTGTAACTCCTTCCCTATTGAAATTTGGCATGTCCCCTCCTTATCCACATTTAAAGCTCTCCTATTCCAAAAACAGTCAGATACCTGCTAACCTTGTATTACATAACAGTACTCTATTCTTATTACTCACGTAATACTTTTGACTGTATGTATGCATTTCATGTTATTTATTATAAAATAATATGAATCATTTTTTTTTTTCATGTACAATTAAATATTTTCTAATCTTAAAATTATATATCTTTCATTTACTTTTTTTTCTCTTTTTAATGGCACAATTAAAAATATATACCTACTTCGACATTTTATAAATGACAGATTCAACGTTCCTCTTACTTAGTAAAAACTTTGTGCTTATTTAATTGAAAAAATTAATTTTTTTTTTCTTTCTTCTTAGAAGTGAATATGTATACTGTTTTACCATTTTCCATGGTTTAAGTTATTGTTTAAAGTGATTTCTTCATAGTTGTAAGTGTTTTTATATAGTTGTATTTGTTTTTTCTATCACTGAGTCACTTAATATTTTCTGTATTGTTTTTAATTTTATTTAATGTTTCAAACCTTTTAGCCAGAAGTAATCTTTTATTTTTAAGGGACTTCACCCAACAATAAAGTTGTTTTTCTATTTCTGGATAAATAAAAAAAAAAAAAATAATAATAGTAATAACTTTATTGCTTTTTCACCAAGAGTTACAGTTCCATTTTTGTTTGAACGGTATCAGTAAAATAACGAGCGATACTTTTTCGATTATTGAAATAAGAAATGTTGTTTTCACACATCAACAGTCATATTGCAAAAGCCATTAAGTTCAAAAACTATAAATATTTAAGAGATGAATAAATGTGTATAATTTTTATTTCATGAACTAAACTTGCTGTTTTATTTTAAGGGATAAATCTACGTTAGCCAAACCAATCCAGTTGAGCACTGGAAGGTTGATAAGGTACCATCTTGGTTCAGTCGCACTTGGATCACTTATGATTGCTTTGGTTCAATTCGTAAGAGCTATCTTCAGTTTTATTTATTACCAGGTGAATAAATAATCACTACCTAACATAATCCTAAGAAAATTTGTCTTTTATTTGTATTTTTAAGATAAATTAATTATTTCTGTATTGCATTACAACTTTATGCTCTAAATGAGGAGAGCCTATTATAATTAGCTAATAACTTGAATTTATTTTACATTCTTTCTATATCTTTCTCAGATTAATTCATAAATAATAATAATAAAAGGCTTAGCGATCCCGAAGGTTCGATGCCAACACCACCAATCGCTTATTACATACCTCCCTCCACCGTTCGCCTCCAAACCCAGGCCGTTCAGATCGGCCTTAATGCAATCTTCCCACCTTTGTTTTACTCTACCCTTCGGACGTTTACCATTCGATACAGCAAATATTGACCTTTTAGGAATTCATTTGTTACTAAACCCAACAATTATACAAGCCCATTTGATTTTCCGCGTTGAAATCCACTCAATTATATTAACCGGATACAGTTCACACTATTCAGCACTGTGTAACCGTCTGAACTCTCCGGTTAACTCATCCTTCTTTGGTCCGAATATTCTATGCAATATTATAAAAAACCTTAAGACGTTGCTCATCCCCTTACGTAAACGGCCACGTTTCGTATCCATAAAGAACTGTAGGTATATCTATAAATAGTTTTATAGATTCTAATCTTTAAGTTTCGGTACAAGAGGTGTCAGCTAAGTAGTTTTGTCACAGAAAAATAACAAGCATTTCTCACCTTCAGCTTAACCTTAATTTCCTCTTCAATTTCATTTTTTCTAGTTATCGTACACCCTAGGTACCTAAACTTCTCTACCTTTTCATACATATTACCTTCTATATCAATATTACCAGCAATATTGCAGCTAACTATATATTTTGTCTTATCCATGTTTATTTCGAGCCCTAGTTCTTTACCAGCTTTCATTAACGTTGTCGTATTTAGTTTTATAGTTTCTGTGTCTTTGCTTAACAGAACTAGATCATCCATAACCGGTGTTGACCTACCCAGATTCAACCCTTTTTCGGTACCCATTACCTCCATAATGGCATGTTCTAATGCCAAATCGAATAGGAGAGGCGAAAGGGAATCACCCTGTTTTAAACCTGAATGAACCTCAAACTTTTCGGATAAATTGGTTCCGATTCTAACCTTATTGAGTGTTTCAGTTAGTTTTTTTGGAATCCCTGCTCGATTAGAATATTATACAGTTTCTGGCAGTCAATAGAATCGTAAGCCTTTTGAAATCGATATACAGCTGGTGAACATCACCATTGTACTCTAATTTTTTCTCCAATATTTGCCGTAAAGAAAATATTTGATCAACATTCAAACAATTCCGTCTAAATCCGCATTGGTAGTCTCCAATAATTTCCTCGGATGTATTCCGTGATTCGACTAGTTAAGATTAAAGTGAATATTTTATAACCTACCGGAAGGAACGAAATTCCTCGATAGTTATTACAATCCATCCTCAGGCCCTTTTTGCGAATCAGAATAAGAATAGATTCTTTCCATTCTTCAGATAATTAATATACATCAATTCATAAGTTCATATTATTATTATTCATAAGTTGTTTGGATCAATGAATGAATAAAAGTTCGATTCGATGTCAATAATTAAAAGAAAACCATGATCTACTAACAAATTATTTATTACTGAAAGTATTATGTTTTTAAAAAGTTCTTTGCAGCTTGAATTTAAAAAAGTAATTCATAATTAGCTTTATTTATTGGTAATTGATTTAAAACTATGATTGTTTTATTTCAGACAAAAGATAATACTGGAGACATTGGTAAGGCAATATACAAAGCCTGTCAGTGTTGTTTGTACTGTTTTGAAAAAATTCTGACCTACATAACAAGAGCTGCATACATTGAAATTGGTTAGTAAATTTTAATAATACAAGGCATGTTACTAATTTTTTTCAGAAAAGCATATTTAAAAAACAATTTTTCAATTGCAGCAATATATGGCAACAATTTCTGTTGGAGCGGCGAACAAGCTATGAAGGTGCTTACTAATAATTCTCTCAGGGTTTTTGCCATCAATTCTGTCGGTGACTTTGTTCTTTTTCTCAGCAAAGTTCTTGTAGTTTCTTTTACTGTTCTAATTGGATATTTCGTCTTTGAGGTAAATCATTTTCATTAAATCACAAGTCTTTTTAAAAGTACATATCCAATTTATAATGAAAATGACATTTTATTTCTTGATTATAATTAAGACAATTTAATCGTTTTAAATCTAATGAAGTAGTAATTAAATTCTTTGGTGCTAAAACAGGCCAGTATCTGAGTAAAATACTTGGTACTCAGTCCTCAGAGTAGCGTTTGCCCATCTTCGCATTCAGTTACCTTAGACGGTAAAAGCGCCAACAATTAAGATCCTGAAGGAAATTTTTTTTTTTGGTTCATCTTATAGAACTACTTCTCACCTTGCCATGACACATTTAAAACCCATGAAATATTCTCATCTATTTTTAAAAATTGTAAATTTAGAGAATAATTTTATTGTACCAGTAACTGATACTGTTTGATTTGAAATGTTGCTATAGCTGGCAGCGATGAGAACAACGATGTAATTATGCGAAATGCAGTGTTGAAATTTAATATTCTTCATTCCAAGATAGATTTTAACCAAAATTAACTTCACCTTATAAAATTAATTTCTTGCATTTCCCTATTTAAATTTATCGGGAAATGCTGGACACCGTCAAGTATCTCTTTTTTATATTTAATCCATATCACTAGCTATGTTTCTTTAAACAAGAGAATAGTGGATTTTCCATTTTTAAAATTCGTAATATTGAGTATATCTCTTTGAATTTACAGGAATACAGGCCAGTCAACAACTGGCAAAAAGTCCGGTACTTCTTCACTAGCTGGCCGGGATTAACTGCTATCTGCCAATGTTTATAACCTGAATACTGATAATTCCGATAAGGCAGTGATAAGCCTTCTCGTAATTCCTATCTTCCTATTATTGTATTATATTCCTATTATTGAAAGTGTAAACAGAAACAAAAATAAATGTAATAACAAAAAAAAACACTTTTATTTTACGATACATATATTAATGAAATAATAAAAAAACACTTAAAGAAGATATGTACACATAAAAGATCAAAATGAAATAATGTAAAACACTTAAATTTTTCAATTCCTTTAACAATATAGATTAAAAAAAGACAAAGCATGATCTAAAAAACACCCCAAGAAGAAATAAAACAAAAATTTTGAGATAAATCAAAGTATTTAAAGGGAAAAAGACAAATCAAAGGTATGCCCTTACTGAAAGACAGTTGTTCCTGGGATACTACATGGACTGTGAGAGACCTCTCTGATTTAACACATTATTTTGGTTACAGTTTCCAGCAAGACTAAAGCAAACAGACAAATATACAAGGAGAAAGTATAGAAATAAAAAATGTATGAAATAGAGGACTAGGAGGTTCTGAAATCTCATTTTCCACACTTTTTGAGGCAGATGTCAGGTATTGGTACAGTGTCAGCAACTGGTGCATTTACCTTAACTAAAGAAGATGACAGTTTAGAGAAAGTTATTTGGACCCAGCTAAACAAGTCTTCATCAGCGCTAGAAAGAAGAGCACTAAAAGAATTATAAAATTAGAAAATACTGTAAGAGTTACAAGATATAAAGTTAAAACAATTAATAGAGTAAATAAAAGGTATTAAATATATTCAAATATAAAACCAAGTAACTATAATAGAGTAAATTAGAAATCAGTAACAATAAATGCAAATAAGGAAATACTGAATACCATAAAGTGGATGGTTGATTCACCTTGTCAAGAATATAGTATGACGAATCTAAGCAAGGATTAAAAAGATTGAAGGGATGAAGGAAAAAGTGGATAGAAAGGCAAACAAATGAAAATAAAAGGGTTATGAAGAAAATGAAAGAGTGATAAAAGACTTTCCTATGATCTGGAAAGGCTTCCGTGCGAAACTACCAATTCAATTAACTACAAGAAAATTATAAGAGAACAAAGAACTATAAATATGAATTGATTTATGTGAATTTGGCAACTCATGTATTTTCAATTTTCTTTGTCTCCTATAATTTTCCACTATTAAACCATTCTTACGTCCACCGCACCCTTAATAATTCATTTACTATTTATTCGTCCTTCATGCTATTTAAAAGATTGTATTTATTTATTAAATGTCATCAAAGATTGTTAAACTTAAGTTGACATGTATGTATTCAGTAAAAAAGAATATATTTACATGATTAGTATCTAATTGATATATATGTTCTAATTGATCATGTTCTAATTGATATATTTAAATTGTTTTTTATTATTGTTAGACTCATTTGGATAAATTAAGTAGCTATCAGTTTAATTTTCATAGTTGTTTCATATCTGATTTCATAAGATAATATTTATTATATGATGATTTTTCTTTTAGCATATGGAAGGTATTCAGCATATATGGGTAATACTATGTCTTCTTGCTATTTTCGCCTATCTTATTTCTCATTGCTTCATTTCTGTTTATGAAGTAAGTATAAAAATTTCTATCAGTTAATTGTAAGCAAATTTTCTTTTTAACATTCTTTAGCGATATAAAACATTATTACCTTCTTTTCAGATGGTTATTGATACCATATTTATTTGTTTTTGTGAAGATTGTGAAATGAATGATGGAGTGGAAAAGCCTTACTTTATGAGCTCTGGACTTATGGTAAGATCTTATTTTATCACTTAGTTTTTATAAAATTACAACATAGAATTTGATATTATTATTTATAAATATTTGCCAAAAATTGTATATTTAATAATTAATTTTGTTTTAAACAGTATCTAATAATAAAATATTTTATTTTAATCTTTAATGAATTAATAAGATAATATAAATAAGATTTTTGTCTTTTCAGGAATTTGTTCAGAATACTAAAAAAGTGTTAGCTGTTGGAGATGCAACTACATGAAGAATTCCTCATAATGATCCTGTTTGTAAATCTATGACACGATATCATTCATGTGGGAAGAATACTTGACAATTTTCTCTGTTCTAAGAGAGAAAAGATTAATCACATATGTGAGAAAATTGGAAAAATATTTTGATTAGATATTATAGTTTGCTGAAAAATGGTTAAATGCATTAAATATGAAAAATCCTAAAGTTCCAATCAAATAAAAAGAAACCACAGTTGACAGTTAAATGTTTTTGTAGATTATATATGTATGTAGTTGACTGATTGGATAATGTAAGAACTTTATCTGTAATTGTATTTAGGTTATATGTTATTTTTGTTACTTTTATATAAAAATCAATAAGTACATTATGATGTTTGTTACAATTGATTAGCAACCCCGAATTCCTTTGAAAAATGAAAAAGGACCAAGTTAGATCTCAATTGTTTTTGGGTCCATAAATTTTATACTTGTTAAATATTTATAGTTCACTCAATTAACTGCATTCATGAGATGGCACTGCAATAATCTAATTTTAAAATTCTCGAGTAACTGTTGTCTTCCCTCAGATATTTTACAAACAAACAGTTTTCAAGGTAGTTTGATTTAAATGAATTTGTAACATTAGTTTTTGTGAATTTATACAAAAAAGTAAGTTTGCTGCAAAATTGGATGCCTTCCAAAATTGTAGGTACAAGTTATGGCTTAACAAATATTCACAAACTACATAACAGATTTTAATTAGTTTTTAACTAATTAAATTATAGAAAAATATTTTTAAAAAACATAAATGCAAATTATATTTTTATTTACTTTTGCAGCAACAGGATTTGTTTTTGAGGAATAAAATATTCAAGGAAGTGTGGATAGTAGATATTTAAATTTAAATTAAGACAATGTGTTTGTCTGGATAACATTTTAAATGTAATTAATTATTAATATATATTTATCTCAAATAACTATGCAATGTTCAGAGAAAACAGTATAGTTTAATTATAGAAGTTTTAGCACTTTATATAATTTTTTATTATTTGCAATATTATTGTAAAACAATAAATTAATTTTTTTATAATAGTACTTGTTCTGTATTGCCATTTTCCTTCTAGAATAGATTTTATACCACTACTGATAGGCATGAAAATATCACAAAGATAAGTATAGTTCGACTGCGATTAGTTGGCAGCGTTAGAGGAGACTTATGTGGCACTGGATGGAAACTAACATTTCTTTTTCTCTAACTCTCTGATATTGCTTACAAAATATTACAACATCACCTTTCAATATATACATATTTGTGAATATTTTGTTAGTAATATAGGTTTAGTGAAAAAACTAAATGTGAGTTTCAACTTAGTGCCAACTAATCTCAATTATACTCAAGCAATACGGTAGTTTTATAAAGTGTCAAATCAATAAAATAGGACTGGGCCCATACACTGAAAATGCAATGTACTTGTATTAAGCGATTAATTTCCTGAAAACCATAAGATTTATTTAATAAAAAATCACACACCTATGATAAAAGTAGAATTTCATAATATAAATTAAGAAATATTAATTAATCTTTATCAACAAAAAAATCTGGTGCGGTGCGCGCATCACACAACTTTAACTTATCATCCTCTTCTTAGAGGAAATATGTATTTTCAGACAAGGGAAAAGTGAATGTAAAAATTAAAAACGCTGTATTTACTTATATTTCATTGTGCATATTTTTATTTGTGTAAGTAACCTTATATATACAAATTTTAATATTTATATTGCTGTAATTTATATAATTAAATAATTCCAACAATAGCATTTATGAAAACCATATATGTATATTTATATAATATTGTCATAGACCGTATTATATTAAGCTCATGTTACATATGGAAGCGTGTTCTAATCTATCGGGTGAACTGTTATTCCTTTGGTTCCTCAATTACAACTATTCTCCGTTACGATCTCTTATTTCTCCTTTAGTTCATCATCAAATTCTTTCATATTTTATATTTATATTAGAGATTAATGTGAAATGGCCAATTGTTTCAAATAAAAAAATTTAAAGGTACTTTAGGGGAAGCTAATATTGAAAATTAGCGATCAAAGCTCAGTTAGAGAACATCAATCAGAATAAAAACTACATTTTATTTAAAACTGCTTGATTTTACACTGATGTAATGAATTTAATCAAAATCGTTAGAGCCGTTTTGAGACATAAAAATCTGTTTAGTCCATGATATAAAGTGCCATTTCCGGTTAGCTGATTTTGACGAAAAAGATGCTGTAACATCCCAAGCATATAAACATGTTAAATATAAAATTTGACTTTCATACGACTTTTCATTTTGACTGTTAACACATAGACCATTTTGCGGGACTCTGCTGGACTGGACTATAGGACCTCAAAACGTGTCTCTGTTGAAAATTGAGATTCGAAAATTTTTATGGTCACAATACTTTCCTTTACTATATATTTAATATATAGGTAAGTGAAAATAAAAATAAGAAAGCATTAACTTAACATTTGGATTTTTGAGATAGATCAATTGTTCACAAATAAATATCTAATAAGTAGTGAATCATAAAATCATTTTTTTTGCTAACCAGCTTTGGGCCAATTTATAGCAACTAAATCAGTCCCACCAACCAAGAGGTAAGCACTAGATCTTCATATTCGAGACCTGAAGGTATTCTTGGGAGATTACCTTCTCCCAACTTTATGTAAGAATATCTTGTGTTCAGCAAATATGTTCTTAAAACTTGATTTACCCTTTATTAATATAAGGTAATCATACGTATAATACAGTTCTCAGTCGTTAAAAATATATGTGAAAATTTTGCTTACCAGCCAGTACTTTACAGCACAGGGAGTGAACACTATTTTTCATATTATCTTCTATATATAAGTAATTGACAACTTTAAAAAAATAATTTATTTTGTTTTAAAGTACTTTAGATTCTATTCAATATTTCTCTGCTGACAATTATCAATACACCTGACTGAAGTAAGAAGAAACAATCTTACAAAAACTATGTGAGTTATATCTTAACAGCATTTGTGTTATTTTTTCTGTAGAAATTATGAACTAAAACTGGTATTTCTGAGCTGTTGTGAATTCTAATTAACAAATACCTCAATCAAAAATAAGATAATTTAGCATAATAACTAAATAACACGCATCTCGATTATCATCAGAAATTCAGTTAGTTTCATCATATGTTAATCCTTTTGAAATCAGAACATAAAAGTTTAGTTTACAAAAACTACCAAAAAGTAAGAATTGCTCCTATTTTGGAAGAGTACACAATAAATAATAGTACATGTGAAAAAATTATGATTTATTTTAATTGTTACACTATACTTTAATTATAGATTAACAAAAAGCACTTTAATTAAATTATTGTTGAAAATAAAAATAAATGATAAAACATTAAAGATATAACCCTTCAGGAGTTCCTTCTTTTTTACGATAAAGGACGCTCTCTTTAGATTTCTTGAAATCTTCATTATTTACTTTCATCCTACGCTCTCTTAAAGCCATTAGACCAGCTTCTGTACAGATGGCCTTGATATCTGCACCTGATAAATCATCCTTAGCCATAATCAACTCAGACAAGTTCACATCATCAGCAAGTGTCATGCGGCTAGTGTGAATGTTAAATATTCGCTTTTTAGTTTTTTCATCGGGTAGAGGGAATTCTATTTTTCTGTCAATACGACCAGGCCTAATAAGGGCTGGGTCTAGAGTTTCAATCCTGTTTGTTGCCATAACCACCTTCACATCTCCACGACTATCAAAACCATCAAGTTGATTCAGAAGTTCCAACATAGTACGCTGAATTTCACGCTCACCTCCAGAATTGGAATCGTATCTGTAATCCAAAAATACAAACATATAATATTCTAATTAAGCGAGATAGGAAAATAATTCAATAAATAATGTAACAAAAACAGATAAGACAAAAATATTGCTACTTAATTTGAAGAGGACTGAATTCAGAATTTGGTATGAGTTCACCAGAGTTCTGTATAGATTAGGCATGGTTCAGAATCATTTCCTCATGGAATGCTGAAAGTATACAGGTCTATTCGAAAGAGTATGGAGGTGACTGATATCTTTGATTAGTTACAAATATCGTTTTTACCATTAAAGAAGTTTTATATTCTTAACCGTGAGCTGACTCATATTTGATATTTATGTTACATTACATAACCTTAATTACCTTTTGCATATATACAGCTGCAGAAAAAAATTGTAATAGATAACATATAATTATTTTATCACTAACTGCTATTTAATGATTTTTTTTTTCTTATTGATAATTTTCATCATTCAGTATCATGGAATATTCAGATATTCTTCGTCAGCTGAAATTCCTATCACTTTCATTCTTTTCTTGGAAATAAATATCCAAATAAACACATTTTTTATAGCACCACTGAGTATAATCTTTCTACTTACTCCCATTTTATTATTATTAAAAAAAATTACAATTTTTTAATAAGTAATTTTAATAAATACTTTTGTAATGTTAATAAGGAAGTTCTTTGGTGGGGAGGAGGGTACACAGGTTTTTTAAAAATGTGTAAAAGAGTGGGTGATTGAAACAAGGCAGACCTTCCTTTTATTCAGCATTCAATGAACAAGTGAGAGCAAAGTGATTGTGTATCACGTGCTATCTGTGCGGAACTCTAGTGAACTAGTACACAGGATTTTATAAAACTAGTAAATATGAACTAACTGTTTCTAAGTTATATAGTTTTTCTTCCTTAGAAGAACTTGAGTTAAATAGAAATTTACTTTCCCAATTGGTCAAGGAAACGACTCAGAAGAGGAAGTTATTTGGTTATTAGTTTTTTTTTTCTAGTATATAATAAATTATTTTCTTTTATATATGATAAAAAAGTGTTTCATGTTATAGAACAATCAGTCTAGTCACTAAAAGTGGATGCTGCATACTTCACTAGATTGTCAGTACATACAAATAACAAGCGTTAAAATGTTTTAGAGATAAGATTTTGAGAACAGTTAAATTTTTCTCTCTTCAATGAAAGTGATAAATTCTGATAAAGAATTAAGTTATAATTGTTATCAGCTATTGAGATTCTAATTTATTTTGTGTACAAAAAAAGAGTTGGAATCTTAAAAAAAATAAAATGATATAAAACCAGTTTAAATGATCACCTTTTGGTACCAACAGCATCAATCTCATCAATAAATACTATTGATGGAGCATGTTCCTCAGCAACCCTAAAAAGCTCTCGAACAAGTTTAGGACCATCACCAAGATACTTTTGAATAAGTTCAGAACCAACAACTCTTAAAAATGTGGCTGAAGTTTGATTGGCAACTGCTTTAGCTAGCAAAGTCTTCCCTGTCCCAGGGGGTCCATATAATATTACACCTTTAGGTGGTTTAATACCCATTTCTTCGTAATATTCAGGGTGGGTAAGAGGTAATTCTACAGATTCTTTGATTTCTTGAATCTGTGTATCTAAACCTCCAATATCTGCATATGTTTCCTGAGGTGCTTTCTCTAGCTTCATTACAGTAACCATGGGATCTGTGTCATCTGAAAGAACACCTACTACAGCATGAACTTTGTGATTTAAAAGAACAGAACAGCCTGGTTCCAATTGATCTTTGTCGACAAAAGAAAGAATGCTTACATAATGTTCAGATCCAACTGAAGTTGAAACAATGGCATGATTATCATCAATAATTTCTTCTAAATTACCAACTGACATGGGTGTACCCCTAAGGTCATCAACTTTGGACCTTTCTTCTTCATTTTTTTCTTCTTGGGGTTTTAAACGTTCTTGGTTCCTGATAAATTCTTCTTCCATTAAAAGATAATCCTTTATTCTTTCCAATTTTAAGAGTTTCAAACGACATTTCGTATGAGGTGTTACCTGAGGCAATTTCGTAGCAGCATCAGGTCCCTTGGTTCTCTTTTTCTTTTTACCAACTCGCGTGGGAATTGGTGGTTCGTATTTCTTCTTCTTATCTTTATCATCCTTTTTATCACCTCCAGATCCTCCACTACCCGACTGATTTTGTCCCATTCCAACTTATAAAACAGACACAATGATTATACAAACTCAAACAAACAGTAATCTCTATAACCTCCAAAGATTAACAAGTCATTTTCCAAGACCCTCACAATTATGTTTGATGCTGTAATTTTAATCAATAAAGACAACATTTAAACACATATTTTAAACTGTATTAATTATTTTTGTCGTTTAATATATCAAATAGATATTTGTTAGTTCGCTAAAGAATAATAGCAAGACAATAACAAAATTAGGAGAGGGGGTGGTTAGCAAAATAGTCAGATGGTTGACTGGTGTCCGAAGCGCCAGAATATTTGTATCTGACTGACGAGAAGGTTGCCGCTGTTAGTTTATGTTGTTTATTTTCTTATTAAGTTTTGCTAGTGATATGGTATCAAAATGGAACAACAACGGGTATGGTTACTTCAAAGGATATTTAATGTTGACACAAATCCAATCGTCATCAAAGAAGGATTGGTAAGTTTTGATTTCATTTACCTAATCAGTTCCCAATTGACATTTTCTTCGCCTGATCAATAGTTATACATGTAATGCATATGATGTGAAGTTAAAATGAATTGCCACCGAATATAATTTAACTTTGTTATCAATTGACATTTGCCTTATTATTTTTAGTATTGGAATAATCAACTATTTTCTGAAAAATAATATCAATGCTTGAAAAGTATAAACTTTTATAGTGGATATGATTATTTACTATTCCACTATATACTACTCGACATTAGTTATGTTGTCCCGTTTGCAAGTTGCTTGAAGTATAACTGGTTATTATATATTTCTTATTAGCATATATCACGATGTTTCAAGTAGTGACAAATTAAAAATTAACTAAAATTTAATTCCATGAGTTATTTGTATTCCATTTCGTTTAACAAGTTTATTTCAAATCTGTTTGTCTGGTTTCCTGAACTCGAGGTCTAGTTTAGGCCCAAGTCGTATATTATTAGTTCTGGATCAAATCTACAATTAGGAGGTAACTGGGGGAAACACAACCATTATAAAGTTGGTATAATATTGTTTAATGAGTTGTGTGGAAAAGATTATTGGTTTTGTCACAAGATCACCTTAAACAACCGTTGGTCAAGATAGAGTAATTCCTCATAGTTGTGAATCCAAAATCCTCCATTGATTGTAGTGATTCTGTTTTTTTTTTTATTATTTATTTATAATAGTGAATAAAGACTCTATTATACTTTTTGAGTTAATTTTTCAAAGAGTGATTATATTCAGAGATTGTCTTACTTGATATTAAGAGATTTAGTAATTTTTGTTATATTATCACCCTCCCATTCTTTAAATACATTTCTAGACAACAGAAAATGGTCTAGCATTATTGAACCATCAATAATGACTATATATATGCTTTTTTCTTCTCAATATGTCCAACAATAACTAAATTGTTACAGAATCCTTTGGGGCTTAGTCAAAGCATTAGATATAATGCTTAAAGCATTATTGATTTTGACTTGGCATAGCTTATACCATTTTTGCTTTGTTTATTTATTTATTTTTTAAAATTACGTATGATTAAAATTTAAATTACACATATGATCCCGTCAAAGCAATTTTTACTCGTATCTATCTATATATATATTTCCTGGATTCTTCAAAAAGTCGTCACTGGAAGGGCTAAGTCTGTGCTGTACACATGACCCCTGTCTGTCTTCCACTTGGCCCAGTATTTATTTTTCTTTGATCTTACCGAAGTCTTGATTCCCTTTCATGTCATCAAGACATGCAGGACACTTAGTAGTACTTATTGGAGAGATATCTTTAATGCTGGGAAATACCATCATGGGATTGTCAGGCCACTAAGGATTAAGTAATTGCCAAAAGTGAGTGACGAAAAGCAATGCTGACCTATTTTGCAGTGTGCCTCCACTGCCAAGGGAAATGCCTTAACAGCCTGTCTGTTGCTGAGGACGATGATAAGATGACATAGAGCACATTCGGCAAGAACCACCTGCTACTGAAGGTGAAGCCATCCTCATATGCCAGCATCCTCATGTCTAAAGAGGGTGAAAAAGTGATGATAACAGTGATAATAATGAAGTTTCTTATTGTATTTGTTAAATGTAGCAAAATAGAATAAAATTATTATGAGACTTTTTATTATATGTAAAATACAATATTAAATTTTTAAGTAACATGATTTTTTTTTCTACTTTATTTAATAACTCTGATTTAAAGTGTGGCCGCACATTTTATTAGACAAACGAACAAAAGTTGTGGGTCAAGAATATGATAATAACAACTTTTCCTGAAAATAACAACATTTAAAAAAATTAAAATAGTTGTATTGGATAACTGGTTGGAGATTGATTTGCTTATCTATATATATATTAATAGATAATTTAAGTCTCAACAACTTATTTTAAATGAATTTCTTTCACTATTGAATAGCTTAGAGGATATGAAGGAATGTTTGATGAAAAATGTGAGGTAAAATGATTTTTTTTTTCGAAAATGTCAACTCTTTCCATATGGGAAGGTTGTCCTAGAGGTACAACCAAACCTATTCTAATCAGAGTGGGAAGGTCGAGTTCCATTTTGTGAGTCCACCATGAATGAAATGAAAGTCAGCTCTTCCTAGGCTGGATTCGAACAAGTGTCACGAGAATGCTAAAATGGCCGATCCTCTAACACTCTTCTCCTCTTTGCTGTCAACTTTCTCACTTCTCTGTCCAGTAGGCTCCATTTATGAAGAAATGTGTCTTCCACTTGCATCCGCCATTTGATTTTATTTATCTACTTATTCCATGAAGCTTGCAGAGTTTTTCTCTTTAACAAAGTAAGATAATACATTGTCTTTTGCCTAGCTCATAGGGCATCTTATGTAGTAAAGAATGCAGCCATGTATTCTGCCTTCTTAGAGCTTACTCATTATGTTGCAACAAGAAAAAAGAAAACAGTTTCTTATGGATTTTTTTACGATTTCATTTCAGTTCTTCCATTGTTAACAATATTTTTAGTTCTTTTACTAGTGGTAAAGTATTTATTGGTTTTCTCCACACTCGGGCTTTTATTATTATTATTAGGTGGAATTACAACACATTAGTTATATTAAATCATAGATTCCCCTATCACAGATCACCATTGTCTCTATATTTAAGTTTATGACACTTTGTGTGAATTGTAAAAAAAATTGGTTTTCAAGAATCCTAATTTACATCTGTTTCATTCCGTTGATGTATCAACAATTGAATTACAAATACATCAGTACTTTAATATCTTAATGAGTTTTCAATTATAACCAGCCATAAAAGGGATTTTCTACAATTGCAAGACTCCCTTGTCATCCAGGGCCCATGTAGAAAGGTTATTCTGTTATACCATTATGATCATTTAACTAAAGTTAATAAATTGTCAGATAATTTATTTGAAAAAAAAGAGTAGTCCTAAAGGCAAATATCTGTCACTTGAAAACCTTTTTTAATTTATTGTTCAAAGCGATTCTATTTTTGTTTTTATATTACTATGTATTATTGTTTTATTTTATTGGGTTGTTACCCGAATAAGACGGTTATTTTTCTTTGTTTATGACAAGTTGTAATTTATTTTTACTTTCACTTACCTCTATATATATATATATATATATATATATATATATATATATATAGTGAGGGAAAGTATTACGTGAAAATTTTCGAATCTGTTTTCCACGGCAATAGAACTTATAAAGTCTCCTGAATCTAAATAACCAAGTCCCACCAAATGGTCTGTGTGCGTGCCTGTGTCTCTGAACAGCCCAACTCAAAAACGAAAAATCTTACGAAACTACGATTGCCTATTTAAAGTTTGTATATGGTAACGATGTGACAGTAACTTTTTCTTTAAAAATCGGTTAACCGGAAGTGCCACTTTATATTTTCGATTTTACACACATTTACGATTTTATCGAAAATAGCACTAACGATTTTGATTAAACTCGGTATATCAGTGTTTTATTAAGTTATTTTTAATATCAGCTAGTTCTTATCTACATTGGTGTCACTTTACAGGGCTTAAATGCCCAATATTCTTATACGGCTTCCTCTAAAGTATCTTTAATCTGATTTATTTAAATAAAAAAATAACACTCTCTTATTGACATTAGTTATAAAAAATGGCTAAATATAACTTTTGAACGAATTTGATAACTGAATAAAGGAAAAAAAAAATGCTTATTCAGGTCGAAAATGAATCTCCGGACGTAATAGTAAGAAGGAATACATATTATATATCGTTTAAAAAGCGGAGAATTTTAGAAAAAAATTATATCTAATAAATAAAGTTGCAAAAGCTAATGGTGAGTGACGAAAAACATATAAATAATAATCTCTAGAAACTAATATTATTTAACGTAAATCACATGTTTCCAAGGAAATGTCTGCAGACACCCAATAATTAGTCTAAAAGGAAGATGTTGCTCTAGATGTTATATACCTAGATTTATTATAACATGAATTAGAAACTGACGATGGAGCACATTAGATTTAAGCCATGTATCCACATGATCATTGGGATTGTGGTTCTGAAGATGTGAGTAAATATCCCGTAACGTAAACTTGTAAACATGCAATTTTGATAATACAACAAACAAATTCAATTGTTGTTACTTGGAAGTAATCATTGTCAAATAACAAAGAATATCATACAACTTCCCAGAAAAAAGAAAAAAACAATTTTTTTTTGTTAAATGTAATTTGATATGCATAAAAAGTTTTAACTCAGCCAAAAATATTAGATTACATAAAAAAAAGTTTTTAGTCATTACGGTGATAAGCCATTTACTAATCGCTCAACAATTGAAACTGATCACTCATTCCTCATTGTCAGAATAATAAGTAATTTAATCCTACTCACTAATCATCATTATTGCATTAATTACTCAGTTACTGGAGCAATTTCCCAACGCTATAACTGCCTACCGTATTTGCAGCCATTATATTCTTAACAGTTATTTATATTAATTTTTATTGTAAAATGGAATCATGAAATCATCATGAATATTCCTAGCTCACTTATTTTATCAATTAGTTTATAATACACTCCCCTTCAAAATTATTGCAGCACCCATAATTCACGAGATTTTCTTGGTTTTGTCTTTGATCCATACTTTGTTTATATTTATTAAATGAGAGACAGAAATTAGGGATTAGACACATCACTCGTATTTACTATTTACCAACAAACGATGGAGTTTTAGTTTATTCATTTCAAATTTCCTTTCAGTCCATGTTCATTTTTCGTTTGCCTCAAGTCTGTTCTCACTTTTCTCTTTAGTCTAGTTATAACAATTAATTTTATTCACAATGAATCGGTTTAGCAACAATGATTCGGTGAGAATCATCGCTCTCTCTGATGAAGGCAAATCATTGCGTTACATCGCTAATCTCCTTGGGATTCACTATTCACACTTTCTTTTCAAGGACCATAAAAAGGTACAGGTAGACTGGTTGTCGTTAGAGGAGACC